TATTCTTAAATAGTGACTAGTTTTGCTAAATATGAAAAATAACTATATTATTAATATTAATACCCATTCTTTTGCAATAGAGACATTAGCAAATACTTTTTCCAATCTATCATATTTAAGAACTTCCTCCGCTTCCGGATATCTCGATCCTAATAATTAATTTAAAAAGATTATTTTACACTGTAAATTTGTACATGTAGAACAAATAATAATTACCATGCCTAGTAATCAAATGTAATTGATTTAATTCACATTTATCAGGATAGGTTATGGGTTCAGCATCAGGAGAAAAGACATTATTTCCCGGTTCAAGGTAAAATAAATGGTCGTTGATAAGTTCTTCTGGAGAATAATTGTACCTTTTGCATATCGTTGGGTTATAGGAAATAAATAAAGCGAAGACAAAAACTGAACATTGAATGTGGTATAAAAACTGCATTTTTTTTTAGTATTAAAGTTGTTTTATTTCAAAAAAAAAGAAGAAAAAAAAAAGAAGAGACGATTAAGGTCCTTTTATATCGATTTCGGAATGAGTTCATTACTAATTTACTCAGAGTCAGTATGTACAGTATAATCTGTATATAGAGACAATAAACCAGTTATTAACATGTAGCGAAAATAGTAATTTATTTATCATCCAAGTTATTACTCTTTACCATTCCATTAAATCTTCAATGGATGAATGCATCCGTCGATCTAGATTTAATTAAAGTTATTACTCTTCACTATTACACCTTCAATGGATGAATGTATCCATCGATGTAGGTTTGGATGTAAATGTAAATTTTAAATTTTGCGAAATTATGTGCGTTACTATTATGCATTAAAATATTGACAATAAAATTTTGCTAATCCTACTGTTGATATTTCCTTTTTTTTGAATTTGGGCGGCATTTAGGGTCTTGAACAAAAAATAATATCGTGAGAAAATTCCTATCAGTATAAATAAAATTTTCCACGGCGTAGAGTTTATTATAATGGGATTTACCTATAATCGGAAATATTTTATTTTTATCTTGAGTTTCTGCATCCTTAAATAGACATTCATTTATGTAATCTAACAGTCATTTTTTAAAGTATGTTTAGTTTATCACTGTTTGTTTTTTATTATCACAAGCGAAATCTGTGCCGTTGATCACAAAATCATTTTAACTCATAAAAAGGATAAAAGTATTGATCAATGTTATATTATCGTAGTATAAAATTCTCTGTGAATTCACGGCACGAAATGCTTTCATCCAATACTGGGAAGAACTAAGCAAAAACACTTGCCAACGATATTCTTTTTGGGAAGATTTTCGTGACCTGAAATGAAAAAAAAAAGAATTTAATAATATAATGGTAATAGTAATCGAATACGAATACATACCCTTTTTTTAAATTTTTATATTTTAATTTAATTTCTTTACTTTTATTTATTTAATTTTATCAATTATTATTATATCATATTTTTATTCCTATATTTATTATTATTACCTTCTTTTATTTCTTTTATTTCTTTTATTTCTTTTCTTTATTCTTCATTATATCGGGTTTCGCGCTACGTAACAATTGCGAACACGTGTCACGGGGCGATTATGTTCCATCTTCATAGAGATAATTATGAAAGATGATGATTATAATAATGGATACATGATGTATTTTTTATTTTGTATTATAAAAATTTACTAATTTTGTTCAATAAAATAATTGTGTATTTGTTTCATTTCATTTTTTATCAATAGCAATAAATATATTATCATTTTTGACAGAAAAGAATATATATATGAGTTTTACAAATAGTGAATATAAATAGCATTTGATTTTCAATCAACTTTCTTATTCATTTATGAATCAATTATAAAAGTTAAAAAAGAAAAGTTAACTTAAATTGGGTTTTCAGTTCCCCTTTACACTGTTTATAAACTGCATAAACACAAATGACAAATACCGGAAATAATATAATTATATTATTTCTGGTTAGTCTAGGTTATTCCTGGTT